TAACAAGATCTGAATAACGATTAAAATAATAATAGTAAGTCAGATAACCAAGTTATCGATTATCATTATTATCAATGTATAACAATTATTATGTAGCCCATAAACTATTATCATACAATTTACTACTCCATTTTCTGTGGCTATTGTTGTATGTACACATCACCTTATACTCACAGCAAATTTGGGTTCATTCATGTATAACATTTAGTTTCTATCGATCGTTGTGATCTAGTGCATATAAAGGAATGCCTGAAATATAAAAAGAACATTGTACGTGTTCATTGATCTTTTGTTTATCCCTTCCTTTTCTTTGGTTAGGGCAATTTAGTAATTGACTAATCACATTAAACAGAGAATGGCATCTTCATTGTCCTTGTTGTATATTGGTTACTCAAAGGTCGTTTGCAACTGATTGGTCAATATAGCACTCTCAAGGTTAAAGCAAGGATATGATGAAAACTAGAACTCAGTCTATAAAGGTTACGATGTAGTTGATAGAACTAGTTCTTCTAGACTGATTTCTCACATAATAATAATAACAATGTGAAGAGGGGAATAAAGAGGCAGTGAAAAACAACGTATGCTTAATTTTGGAGACATTGGTGCATTTAATTTGTGTTGGGGATGTTGGATCGCTTGATAACTAACTGCCTTATTTTGGATTTCACGTTTGCCAGCATGGACCGATCAGTTGACTTTGAGATTTCGATTCCCTCCAGGGAAATCCATGGCTGTTATTGGCAACTGTGTATTTTAGTGTGCTATTTTCGTAACTCTCCCAAGGACGTTTCTATGATGTATAAATAAACGAGAGTTGTATGGTTGATTGTATTGTGTGATTGTTGGGTGTTTGTAGATTATACTTGCTACGCTTACAAAGCCTTTTATCTTCAGCTTGAGATTCAAAGTAGCCTATCTGGACGCCAGTTCATTGTCTCGTTCACGTTTATCGACTAAGGTGAACTCGTAATAGATTCAAGCGTACACCTAGTGACGAACATAACAATTTGAAGTCTGCGAAATACTAATACTGATTTTTTTATTCCTATCTTATTCTACAAATTTTAAATTTTCGACTAATGTAGGATTCATTTCTATATTTTGCTCTATTCAAACATTATTTTAATTTAAACTTAATCCCTCGACTTTATTTCTCTACCTTGAACGACTAAGTTTAATCATGTTTCAGTCAATTCACTTACTTTCCTTCGCTTAACAGTCTATCCAATGATAGAATAGTTTTATTCTCTGTGCCCAAATCCGTTCTGTCGTAACCGAACTCACGTGCATCTTGTCTGAAGATCCCCTTTAGGACTGCAAGCATTATTAGCAATATCCAAACCGAGTCTGAAATGTAGGTGCGAATTCGACTGACAAGTCCCAATCAAAAAAGGATGAAATACGCGCCCGGGAATCCATTGTCAGCTACTATCCAGTTAGGAAGGATTCGATTGTGACCAACTCGATCTAATGTGCTGTCACGAGTATGAGAGCGGATGTCAATTCCTGTCTTTTGAGGAACTTGAATGAGTGTTAGCCTTAACAACCTGAGAGTGTGACTACAGAGCTCAATGGAAAACTGCCGCCCATGCATGATCTTATGATAAAAAGTCTGTTCTTCAGGTAACCTTACTAACGCAGATAGAAATACGTTAGGTAAGATAAAGTGTGACATTTTCAGGGTCAACCTTTTCTAACCCCTTCCTTCCGTTTTGAGAAGGTAGCATTGTTGCAAATGCTTGTTATTCGATGGAAACACCTTACTGCTGTGACAGTCAGTAGCACAATCTTGACCTCAGAATTTAATTTGCTGCTTTTGGTCTCACTGTTCTCCAATCGACATACCTGGAATGGTAGAACCTACAGAAACATATGTTCCAGCAAATATAGCTCAGCTGGGTCATCATGATACGCAAACCCGACCACCTCATCAAGGTAGCAGCTACGATCGGGAGCTACACTTCTTGTCATTTCAACGATAAGACAGTTTTTCATTTAAAAAAAAGTTCACGTACATACAAAAAATATTTTTTTAAAAAAAAGATCATCATGATTTTATTTTTTCAATAAAATATACAAACGAAAATGGCATAAAAATTGAACTATTCAAACAAAACTTCACAAAAACATCATGTATATTTGATTGATTGATTGATTGCTTTGTTGTTTGTTTTATTTTTTACAAAAATTCACATACTACTGATTAAACAGGTTAATTATTAAACAGCCGAAGAATCATAACGTTTCGGTGGTCGAACACGTCTAGTTGAACGACGTACAGTCTCAGATGAATCAGTCATTGAACTAGTCACAGATGATGTCTCATCAAGATCATCCATATCAATCGGATGACGATGATGATGATGATGATGATTTCGTTCTTGATGCAGACGATCTAAATGTTCTAAAATAGCTTCTGTAGTTAATTGTGATGAATGCGTAGAAGTGGTTTTTACACGACTCGATCGATCACGTGTTGTTCTACTACTACGTGACTTTGTCGACGTGATTTTTGGAGTAATTTCTTCATCATGATCATGAATAGTTTCTTTAGTATCAATAGGATGATTTGAAATAGTCACTGAGGGATCTTGTAATTTTGGTGGTGTAAAAATTGGCGCTTTAGTAAGTGAAGTCGAATTGTCGCGGTCATCAATGGAATATTGATCGACACTGAAATTTAAAAATATGAAAAATAAAGGGTAACAATAAAAATACTCTATTTTTAATAGTCATTCATGAAGAGATTGAGGATCAGGAGTCCACAAATTGAAAATTTCAGCAACAACTTACAAATTGTTGAAATGAGAGTTGTTTGTAGTAGTTCAATATGTATATACTCAAAAAATAGTTAACCGTGAAATCTCGCATTCGATCGGTTGTTCCCCGACACAGAGTATACTCTTGTCTGACTTAACATTAAACACAGATTTCATCTATCGAACAGATTATGTTAGTTTGTGAAAATTAAGTGAAACATCTTGAATATTCGCAAATATTTCGTCATAATTAAAAAAAGATTCAGTCAGTCAGTCAATGAGTTACAATGTAGAACTTTGTACGTAAGTACATCAGTTCAAGCTGCCTTACAGTATTAACACAGAGATGCGATTGTCAATCCAAATCCCATAGTAGTAGACGTGGTAGAAGTATTAGCGGTAATGGAGAAGATTAAAGATATGATTCAAGAAGTATAATTCAGTGAGATAAGGTTAGAAAGAGAAAGATGATGAGGAATTCTGAATATTTAAATTTCAGAGAACATAAAGAGTGGGTGCACCTGCGCCATTGCAAACGATTTTGAGACATGTCATTCAAGGTCTCTAACCATCGGTGACTGTCGTCTCGCGAACCCCAACCAGGTAGTCTACATCTACCAACAGGACTCAGTCCACTTGTCAGTGACTTCATGGATTTGTGCCATGTCTTGGTTTGGCCTCCCCTAAGTTTCTTCCAACCTACTACTACATCACAAAACATAGCTCGTCGAGGCAGTCGGTGATTAGACATACGTAACACATGTCCCAACCTCCTCAACTGATCAAGTGTCAGTACTTCATCTATTGATCTGCCATCTTTATCTAGTACTCGGTTCCTAACTATGGGACTTCCAAGATGATTGAAGAGATCAAGTCAACATCTTCAAATATTTGACTCATTTTCTAATCAGTTTAGACGATATGATAGCGCAAGTTAGTGAAACCTAATTTGCGGACACTAAGTTGCGTCTGTTGAAAAGAGTATTATTTTGAGACACAAAAAACCCACCGCGTGGAGGTGTTTTGTAAGTAGTAAGTAGTAGTAGATATATTAGAGGTAATCAAAAAGATTAATAATCAAAAATATCATTCGAGAAGTATTTCCCAGAGAAATTAATTTTGTCAGCACCTTAACCAAAATAGAACTAGGTCATCGACATATTCTAAGTTTACAAGTGAATCTCACTGGGAAAAGTCCAACTCCTGAAAATTCTGACAAAGTTAGTGTTATCTCTAAAAACATGTCAATGACAAAATTGACTAAGAGTGGAGGAAGTGAACAACCATGACACATACCCCTCGAAGTAATGGATTTCAATGACACTTCACCATAAGCTCTCACTCGATCGTTGGGGTTTCGATTATAGAGCTTGTATGTGGGTTACTGTTGTACTTCTCTGATACTCCACATTCAGTGACAAACACTACCATAGAACCTTACGATCAACAGAATCAAACACAGACCTTAACGTCGAGAAATACTACTATTATGAGACGAAAAACATTGGTGTGATTGCTCATTTTCGCCATAAAAAAACAAAAACTTTTTTGAATATGAAATCAAAAAATTTTTTTAGAAAAAATCTTACGTTTCCATCGTTTCCATTTGATCATTACTAACAGGAGCATCGTCAAAATGTTGATTAATATTGTCCTTAAGATTAGAGCATCGACTTGATTCATCCACTGAGATTAATGACACAACTGTATTCTTGTCAACATTCACATCATCAGTCGTGGATTGAATTGCTGGTCTAAGTGTTTTATTTACTAACGGCGCAGAGAATAAGAATTCATTCTTTTCAATAGATTTATTATTGATTGGCTAGTAGAAGAAATAAACGAAAAATAAGCGACAACAATCAGCAAGAATGAATGTGACCAGTTAAACAACTGCCTGAGAATATATGGATACATTGCGAATGGAAAAAAAATTGTATCACAAAAGCGATACTACTAATCTCTGATTTAAGTAGTTATGTGTCGAATTGGATAAACTAATTGATTATGTTAGTAAGGAGAATATGACTGAGATACCCAGAGGAGATATAAGTCATTTGCATTGTGTGAAATCTTGAATTTACACTTAACCATAATGACCAACTTTGACAGTAGTACAATCAATAAACAAATAGAGATGACAGAAATAACCTTGATGTTGTCAAATGAAGAAAGAATTATTATTAGTAAGATTGTAGCGCCTCCACTTATATTCCAGTTCGCTTACATTGAATTTGGTTAAGCCCTTTCGATTAAATTATTTAACCAAGCCATTTGTATTGCAACAATTTATATGTACCATTCGTTCTTATTATTATTATCTGGTTTGTATATGAGCTCACATGATGTGTTCCACTTGTCGTTTGACCTTGTCAACTATTCATAGCTTTTAGTCGTGTGTGCCTATTTCGCTCGTCGCATGTCTGTCTTATTTCTATCTGACTATATATTCTTAGTCATGCTCCATTTCTTTGAGTTGGCTCACTAGCCTTCTCCACATCGCTTCGTTCGCATTGTAATCCTGGGAGTTGGCTCATTAGCCTTCTCCAATTCACGTCGCTTCATCCCTTTCATTCCCTGTTTCTTCGCTTCGCTTTGTGTGGTGTGTCTCAAATAAACGTATTCATATCACTACGAGTTCATCTTCTGATTTATGAACCGTCAGACGCTACTTAGTAACAATTGTCTAGACGAGCTAATTACCGAGCTTCAGAACACGCAATAAATCGACACACTACAAGATTCATAATAAAAATTATAGAGTATTGAATATTGGTTCCGTTTCACTTGAAACCAGTCAACGCCAGACTGCTACTATAAATCTGGAAGTACTGGATGACAGTTTCGTTCGAGTAGGCGACTAACAGGCGGTAGAACCGCGTATCTAAGATCCTACACGAATGGATTGAACCCCGGACGTTCAGCCTACAACGTAAATGCTTATCGAACGGCGTTAATGTATACCTTAATTCAAACCACAATAATGTGTTATCTATAATGTGTAACTAACTGTCTCACATCCAACACGGTAAAACTCCACTGGTCAAAGCTAATCGCTAGAAATCTGAGAATTCCCTCGCCTCAAGAAGTATATTATAATTGTCATTTAAAGAGTTACGGAATTCTGTGGATTTTATCGATTCGATCTATTGTAAGAGAGTTTCTCAACAAAATATCCGTACTCGCAATTTTAAACTAGGAACTTTAAGATATTCATCAAATATCCTAAACAAAATTATCTTGTAACTCTAATTCTATTGGTCAATATTGAAGGTCATCCTCAACTATATCAAGTTCACATACTTTTAAATATTGTTTCCTATAGTGCGGTTAGTATTCACGGTCGACCTAAAGTTTGATGCTCCCATTATTCTTCTTCTGTAAAAAACCTCATATTTTCTAGGTGCTTGTAGTAGAATACACTTTCTGCGTCATATTAGGAGACTTTTTGATACCCGTTAGTGGGGGCTTGGGACGCTCGGATTAGAGAAGTAGTCTATCGTGTCACTAAATCACTTGTCTCAGTTCTCGTCTACCGACTAAGATGAACTTGTATTAGTAGTTTCAAGCATTTGACAATTGACGAGTCATAATAATTTTCAAGTAACTATGTAATGCTATTCACATGTGACTAATTTAAGGTCGTTCCCAACTATCAAGTCCACATACTTTTAAATGTTGTTCCCTTTTGGAGTTAGTATTCACGGTCGAATGAACTGTATAAATATGCATTAGCTGTAAAGTTTGATGCTCCGCCTCTGCTTCTGTACAAAAACCTCATATTTTCCAGGTGCTTGTAGTAGAATACACTTTCTACGTCATATCAAGAGACTTCTTGAAACTGTTAGTGTGGAGACTTGGGACGCTCGGATTAGAGTAGTAGCCTGTCATGTCACTGGATCAGTTGACTTAGCTCTCGTTTCCCGACTAAGATGAACTCGTAGTTGACGAGTATAACAATGGACTATAGTAAATACATAGAAAATGTATCACTAAAAAATTGAATCTTGAAAAACTGATTCAATTTAAAAAAAAAGTTGTTTGTTTAATTTTAATAGAGAAGAAAAAGACAAATCTTACTGTATTTGATGATGTCAGCGAAATACGACGTGGAGCGGAAAAGGTGAATTCATTCGGCGGATTAACATGTTCATGTAGTTTATGTTGAAATATCTCACCTAAAATGACATTTTTAAGAAGAGAAAAAAGAGAATTATTATTATTTTTTTCAAAATAACAATTTGAAAAATTTAATTCAAATGTTTTCGTGGGACAGCCAAGTAGGCAATGCTACCATTAGGAAACGAGTACTAGGTAAGGATGACAGATCAATAGATGAAGTGGTGAAACTTCATCAGTTGAGGTGGTTAGGACATGTGTTACGAATTTCCAACCACCGATTGCCTCGACGAGCTGTGTTAGGTGGTGTAGGTTTAGGCTGGAAGAAACTTAGGGCCGGCCAGACCAGAACATGGCAGAAATCCATGAAATCACTGACAATTGGATTGAGTCATGTTAGTCGATGTAGGCTATCTGGTTGGGGTCCGCAAGACGAAAGTCACCAATGGTTAAAGACCTTGAATGACATGGATCAGAATCGTTTGCAATGGCGCAGGTGCATCCACTCATTGTGTTCTATGAAATTCTAATCTTCTGCACCCGTCGTAATCTCTACCTTTTTCCTTCTAAATTTATCTAACTGAATTATACTTCTCGAATCATATCTTCGCTCCCTAATCTTCTCCATTACTGCTAATACTTCTACTATGACCATCACTCTTGGATTTGAACTGACAGTTACGTCTCTGTGCTGATGTGGTATGGCAACCTGAACTGATGTACTTATGTATGAAGTTCCGCGTTGTATATGTCTGTCTGTCTGTCACTGAATTATACTTCTTGAATAATATCTTCGATCCTTAATATTCTCCATTACCAGTAATATCTCAACTATCTCTACTACTATGAGATTTAATGTGGTATGACAACCTGAACTGATGTACGTACGTATGAAGTTCTACGTCGTAACTGACTGAATTCAAATGTTTATTGGCGGTGAAATCAATGTGAAGCAAAAAACCGAACAACCAAAACTTTCTTAAACAGGTAATGATGATAAATGATAATGTGACAGAGAAGCAAATGTATTTTGTTATTCGCAAGAAAACATCATTTTAAATTCACTTTCCGGTTTCATCACGGAAATTTCTATTGTGTTTAACTGCACTACTGTTAGATCGTAGATCTGGTTATTACACTAGTATACAGGCTAGTAATCATTGCTGCACTTTAATTTTCGCGCGAAATAAATATGAAGCGTTTCCTCAGATCTGATTGGTTAAGCTCAAGGACACCAGCATATCCTACTTTTAATTCAAGATATGATTAATTTAAATGACTTCTTACTATAGGCTTATTGAGATTGATGAGTTATTTCGAAATCATGAATCGATTATTGTTAGACCACCATTAGAAACCTGGAAGCTGTTTTGACCTAAATATGAAACTCTCCAGGAGGGCGCATCGACGACTTCTAAAACTCACAGGACTCGAAACTCAGAACCCTCGATCTTGCAGGTGAACACTTAACCTCTGGACCACTGAGCCGGTATACAATGGTATTCATGCCGAACTTCGATGAATCAACAATTCTCCGATTTCAATTGCATAGTCGTGACCAGTGAAGTTCAACCCTGTTCAAGTGTGAAGCAGTGCTCACCAAAGACATTAGATGAGGTTGTTCCAAACAGTTGATTGGTTGAATTTAGACAATAAAATCGCTGAATGCCAACTCAGTGGTCCAGAGATTAAGTGTTCACACGTAAGACAGAAAGTCCTCGGTTCAACTATTGTAAGTAATAGGAGTCATGAATGAGTCCACTACCAGAACGGAGTGACCGTTCAGTACTTCCACGTTCCTCACGGTGATCTAACATTAATACATTCATGATTTCACTGTTATTCAATCGAACAAGTATTTACTTCTAATTTTTATATGGTAAGAAAAAAGAAGAAATAATCTCTAAATACTTACTTGGTCGAATTGTTGACAAATTCAAAGTGACATCACAATCATCACTCATGTTGTGATCATTGTTTTCACTATCAACCTCCTTGTCACCATCATGATCATCACTATCAATATTGTCCATGTCTGCTTTACTGTCCACTGGTTCAATGTTTAAATGATCTTGTTTCGTGAATAGTTTCGATGTATTACTATCGATACTACTATTAGAACTACTGATAATTGGTAGAAGAAGTGTTGAACAACAGCCTACTGTTGTCGATATGATAGGATTTAATGAAGTTGACAATAATGTTGTAGTTGATGATGATGACGATGTTGATGAGACGACAACATGCGATGGTGGTGGTTTGATAGAATTATCACTCTTTATTGTGGTTGTTGTTGAAACAACAGGCAGCTCTTTATTTGGTACACACAGTCTAGTCTAAATACATAGAAACATAGGCATACAAAAAATCAATCTGATCAATGAGTTAACAATAAGTGACACAACTAAATATTTTATACACTGGAAAAATTCACTTTAGACAATCAGAATAGGATTGAGAGGGAAGAGAGACCCATCTCCGTTTTCAGATTGCTCTCCTTAGGCCGTACTTATATAGCCACTGACAGAGATGTCTTACTCACTTGACTTTAGGCAACAGGCAGGATGAAAAGTGAGTTTCCGGCTGGAGCTTAAATCAGATTAGAGCGTACGAAGGATTCAAAAACAACGATGAACATGGGCCCCAAGATCTTGATGGAACGAATGGCATGTTAACAAAATATTGAACGTCGAATGAGGATGTATCCGAAGCATTGCTCGTATATCCTGGGACAACCATATAAGCAATGCTGTTATTAGGAAACGGGTGCTAGGTAAGAATGGCAATTCAGTAGATGAAGTAATGAAACTTCATTAGTTGAGGTGGTTGAGACATGTGTTGCCTATGCCTAACCACCGACTGCCTCGACGAACTATGTTTTGTAGTGTAAGAGTAGGTTGGAAGAAAGTTAGGGGCGGCCAAACCAAAACATGGCAGAAATCTATGAAGTCATTGACGAGTGGACTGAGCCATGTCGGTAATTGTCGTCTAACCTGTTTGGTGTCCGCGAGATGATAATAATCGATGGTTAGATACCCTGAGTGACATGGTTCGAAATCGTTCGCAATGGCGCCGGTGTATTTATTCTTTGTGTTCTATCAAATCCTAATCTTCTGGATTATTCAACACCTCTAGTTTTGACTTTCTAAACTTTTCTCACTGAATCATACTTCTTGAATAATATCTTCTAATCCTAACCTCTCCGACTACTGCTAATATCTTTACTACCTCTACTAATATTGGATTTGAATTGACAATTACATCTCTGTGCTGATGTGGTATGGCAACATGAAATGATGTACTTATGTACGAAGTTCTACGTTGCATCTGTCTGTGCCTGTCTGTCTGAACGTCGGATGTCATGATACTGCTTCACCGTTTTGTGAACTCAACTTCTGGATCAAAGGCTCATGGAGTAGCATCCTAAGACAAGCAGCTACTTCAGTTTGGAATTCGAAAATTCAATGATTTGTGTTGTACCTCAATATTAAGGTGCCCATTCGTAAAACCTTTTGTGTGTTTAAAGAAATACACTGTCGCATAAAAATAATCAGTTGAATAAACCCGAAACTTCGAAGAATTTGATAGCTTTTTTTACTATGGAAGATTACAAGAGGTAAGGCGTTTGTGCACAAGACTGAATAACATCGATTGAATTTCCGATTGCGAGGTCGTGAGAGTATGCACTAACTCTAAGGAGTCTCATACAATGCTAGTCATACAGTGATCGAATCATGATTTCAATGAAATTTAAAGATTATCATGTATTGATGTGAATTAGTCGGGGTAAATCAACTAAGGATAACGTTTAAAACTTGCAAAGTGTGTTGTGACAAGTATAAGGGTGGATGTCACTACCTGGTCACCCACATCCTGGATAAGTGCTTCTTTAGGAACTTGAAAAGGAAGTTAGATTAATGTTGATCTTAACGATATCAGAGAGCGACAACTGTTATAAGTCCGTCACAAATGGCCTTTTTACGGGATGTTTTGGAAGTGTTAGCTGCGCTCTTCATATGTCCTTAATTTCTGGAGACGGAAATACGTGAGATAAAGTGGGGTGACATTTTTTCAATCGACCGTTTCTAACCGCTTCCTTCCTTATGAGAAGACAGCGTCGCTGCAGATGCTGGTAGTCCCAGGGAAACACTTTACTACTGTCACACCCCTCTACAGTCAGCGGTACGACATCGCCCTCAGACCTTGAGTAGCTGTTTTTAGTCGCATCGTCCTCCAGTCGACCTGCATGGCATGGTAGGACACACCGGAACATATGCCCCAGCCAATATAACTCGGTTGGGTCATGACGATAGGCAATCCCGACCACCACGTTAAGGTAGCAGCTACGGTCGGGCTTGGACAGTCTAAAAAGAACTTGAACAGTTTCAATTTTATATTCAAAAGTATTGACCAATTATTTTAAAGGCTGATCAATTAATTAAACTAACTTTTAATATAGAAATTGGTTTTTGATTTGATGGACTTGATAGTGAATTATTGAACAATGAACATGATGATGATGATGTGGATGGAATCAGACGATTTGTCACAGTATTTACATGAATTTGTTTACGTCCACAAGATGGTGGAGTATAAATACATCTGAAATGAATTAAAAATAAGCAGAAGGTGAAAAAAATGATAATTTTCAAATAACAATAATGATGTACACATACATATATTTTTGAAACCATGAATCGATCAATGTTAGATCACCATTAGAAACCTGGAAGCACTGGACGGCCATTTCGTCCTGGTATGGGACTACTCATCAGCAGTGCGCATCAACGACTCCTGCACCCAGGCGTTCGCGCACAATGCCGAAGGTCCTGGGTTCGAATCCTGCGGGTGCAGGAGTCGTGGATGCGCACTGCTGATGAGTCCCATACCAGGACGAGACGGCCGTCCAGTGCTTCCAGGTTTCTAATGGTGATCTAACATTGATCGATTCATGGTTTCAAAAATGTGTAACTCAACAATCTTCACAACCCCGTAATGCACATACATATATTTCAACAAAACATGACGTCTTCACTTGGTGAGACGGTGCAGATCTAATACACATTCAATGATTTCATTAAAATGAAGTGTCTATATTGGATGACAATTTCACGTAGACATAAAAAAATATCCGGCATGATGTGTCAAGATAAGAAGTGGCGGGTGATCAAGGATACATGATGTATAAGTTAGGTTAGACAAATCGAAAAACGAATTGGCAGTATGAAGAGAGGGGGAGTAGCAGTGGTAGTAGTGTAGAGAACGAGAACACAGGTGGGGCAACCGGATTGTATTTAACGAAAATTACAGAGTTACTCAGTAAAATCGGAACACCATATCGTAAATCGTTCATTTGCAAAATAACAGTTCATCATATCGAACTGGACTGTTCCTGTTGCAAAACATCAATCCATTGTCATTATTTATGCATTTCATACAAATTCCATTGTTTTCTAACTCTTCCTTTCTTGATCTTCCCCCATATTCTGCTGTCAACATTACGTTGACGCTCACGTCATATACTACTTATAAGTAGCTCGCAGCACAGTAGTACTGATAAAAAGGAAAATTCAAGTAGCTTGATAATGTTTCGTGAGCTGAAACCGTTTGATTTCAGCGGTGCGAGGTGATAAACGATCGATAGAAGGGTTGGTCGAGGAGATAAGAGAGTTATTAAGAGGTGTAGAAGGGATTTGATTGTGACCAATTTGGTCACGTGTGTTTTTACGGGTATGATGTTATTTCCCGGTTACCGACACCGTGGAAGGGTTCTGGTTGTCAGAACGGGGCATCAGGCTCATGACTTCCTAAGGAATTCAGCTTTCATCGTGAGACGTCATAACTCCTTTAAATGAAGACCTTCTAACTCCCAGAACAGAGTTTGTATGGTTTGAATTATCTTTTCTTGTTAGCGTTTTTTTGAGAATTGGTATTTAACGGAGGGGGTCACCAACCCCAATCTTCAACCCTCCTCCTTTATCCAGGCTTGAGATCGGCAGTAACCTTGAAGAGTCTACAGGCAAAGTTGTTTATTAAGATTACACTTTGTGTTCTCTCAAATCCCAACCTTTGGAGTTTCTCATCACCTTTATCGTTTTCTTTATAAGTTTATTTCGCAAGATTCTACTTCTTCAATAACATCTACGAATCCTAATCTCTCCGATTGCTTCTAATGCTTTTACTAGCTCTACTACTAAGGGATTTGAATTGACAACTCCATCTCTCTCTGTGCTGATGTGGTATGGCAACCTGAACTTATGTATTCATGTACAAAGTTCTACATTTTAAATGATGACCGACTGATATCATGTGCGAATTGACTCGATATTGCCAATAGGTTTCATGCATTCACAACAACAGAGATGAATGCTTGTCAGTAGTGTAGTGTAGGATATAAGTTAAATCAGCTGGATGTGTACCTAACACATCGTAGAGTTGATATTCTCTCTAGGACTCGAAACCCAGTATAACTGAATAATTTCAGTACTAAATATCAATCGATATCTACAAGTAACCAATACAAATCACTTCAACTTCACTCCCCATTGAAAAAATCAGTGATCATCTGAATTCAGTAACAAGATGGATAATGAGGTTTGAGTCTCGAAGTGAACATCAACTCTGATGTATGGTAGGTACATCCAACTGATAAGTCCCTAAATGGTCCGAAAAAGGTATCGCATTGCTAGTCACCATCTATCTTTGTTCATATAGACCATTATTTCGGTATGAAATAATTGCAAAACATTCTACAGAACAATCGTAACTAAAATCAATTGTCTACTTCGATAATGTCAGTCAGACACTATCGGCAACCTACGAAGTTCTACGACGTTGTAACTGACTGACTGATAGGACAAACATTAATTAAAACATCAAACTGTACCACAAAGCAAATCCTCAAGGCTAAAAGAAAATAGGTAGACCAAAGAACATATAATGCCGAGAATTGGAAGCACACATGAATAGAATGAACAGCGCAATTGGTTAGAACTGGGAAATCAAATGCCCACAATAGAGTCGGGTTAGAGAATAATGGTGGTGAGCATCCTATGCTGCATTAGGGGAAACAGACAGATACAACGCACAACTTCGCACGTAAGTACATCAGTTCAGGTTACCGTACCAAATCAGCACAGAGACGCAACTGTCACTTCAAATCCAAAAGCGATAGTGATAGTAGAAGAATTAGCAGTAATGGAGAAGATTAGGGAGCGAAGATAAGATTCGAGAAGTATAATTCAGTGAGATAAATTTAGAAATGAGAGAACACAAACAGTGGATGCACCTGCGCCATTGCAAATGATTTTAAGCCATGTCATTCAAGGTCTCTAACCATCGATTATTATCATCTCGCGGACCCCAACCAGGTAGTCGACATCTATCAACATGACGCAGTCCACTTGTCACTGACTTCATGGATTTCTGCCATGTTTTGATTTAGCCAGCCCTAACTTTCTTCCAATCTACTCCTACACCACAAAACACAGAACGTCGCGGTAGTCGGTGGTTAGGCATACGTAACACATGTCCCAACCACTTCAACTGATGAAGTTTCACTACTTCATCTATGAATCTGCCATCCCTACCTAGAACTCGTTTCCTAACGACAACATTGCTTACTCGGTCGTCCCAGGATAGACGAGCAATGCTTCGGAGACATCGATGATTGAAGACTAGTAACCTAAGAAAGTCCTCTACTCTTAACGACCATGTTTCGCATCCGTACAGTAGGACGGAGCGAACTGCTGAACAGTACAACCATCCTTTAGTCAGCAAACGGATATCTCGCCTACGCCATAAGTGACGCATGTCGGCAAAAGCCAATCGAGCCTTCTGTATCTGTGCTGAGATTTCATCAGTCACCAGGCCATCAGCACAGATGCGACTCCCCCAGATTAGTGAAGCGGTCTACACGTTCGACTACTTCACTACCTATCACTAGTTCAAGTGCCGATGCAAACTAATCCTAAAGCAACATTTTGCATTTCGAGGGGGAGAACCGCATCCCGAATATATATTAGGGGTAACTGAAAACCAATTTACAAAGTAAACAGACTTACTTTAATAAATATTTATTCAAATCACCATCATCAACATCATCAGCATCATTATGTTTTGTAGAGATTGTACGTTTCCTGGTGAATCGTGTCAGTGTTGGCGGTGTTTTTATTGTAGCATTAGTAGAAGTATGAGTGAAATCGGTCAAACGACATCGATTATCATTTAACCAACTATTCGAGTGTAGACCACAACTTTCATTCAAATCTTGTAATCTAAATTCAAACGAATAAAAATTGTGGAATTCATTCATTAGAAACAATAAAACTAGTAATAATAGAGAATAGTTAAAATGTTTGCTTTCAGTATTTTTATTCGTTAAAACGAAACATTGATTTCTGCGAAATTTGAATTTCTCACATTTTGTGCATTCGCGTGTTCAGTTTGTGTAACTCAACTGGAAGAATTTGAAATGTTATCAGTTCGTTTCTCATTTCATACTCAACCGTAGCTGCTGCTAACTTGACAAAGTGATGGTAGGGCTTAACTATCGTGATGATCAGACCGAATTATATACTGGCTGAAACATAGGTTCTATCATGCCAGGCAGGTCGATTGGAGAACCGTAGATGATACCTTGACAAAGTGGTCAGTCAGTCAAATGCAACGTAGAACCGCCATTGCAAAAGATTTTGAGCCATGTCATTCAATGTCTCTAACCATCGATTACTGTCATCTCGCAGACCCCAACCAGGTAGTCAACTACTACCGACATGACTCAGTCCACTTGTCAATGACTTCATGGATTGCTGCCATGTTTTGGTCTGGCCGCCCCTAACTTTCTTCCAACCTACTCCTACACTACAACACAAAGCTCGTCGAGGAAGTCAGTGGTTAGCCATACGTAACACATGTCCCAACCACCTCAACTGATAAAGTTTCATTACTTCACCTATTGATAAAGTGGTGGTAGGGCTTGACTATCGTGATGATCAGACCGAATAATACTGGCTGAAACATAGGTTCTATCATGCCAGGGAGGTCGACTGGAGAACGGTAAGACTAAAAGCAGCAACTCAAGATCTGAGGGCGAAGTCATACTGTTGCTGGCTAAATCTCACAACGGAAGGAAGGATTAGAAAAGCACGACCTGAAAAAATGTCACACTTCACCCTACCTCACGGATTTCCATCTGTGTCGGTAAAGGCTGCCCACTAAGGGTTTTTAAGAGAGGAGCTAACACTTCAAAAATATTACATAAAAAGGCCGTGCGTGGTCAGCCACATAAGCAGTTGTTGCTTCGGCTCAGTGGTCATACTCATAGGTCTCTAAGACTAACGCTAATCCTAATTTCTTTTCAGGTTCCTCAAGAAACACCATTCCATGGTATGGAAAGCCGGATAGTGACATCCACCGTACTATTTGTAACAGCACACGATATCGAATTGGTCACAATCAAATTTTTTCTACATCTCGAATTAATTCCTACGTTGTAACACTATATTTTGAGTCTTTTCAAAGACATTTTTGTGTTTTATATATTTTTATACAATCTATAAATTAAACTAATCCCAAAAAATTGTGTTGCGAATGTATTTATTTTACAGGATTATGTAATAGGTTTCACTAGTAACAAATCTATGTATTAATTCAAAAATAAATGTTTTAAGTTAGCCCATTGTTGATATATTCTGATGGATATTTAATTAGTCTTCGTTGGCATATAAGCATCCTTTGTGTACTGCCTCAATAAAGCTATTGTGACACAAGTTTACATACAACAGATGGATGGAGCCTAGCCGTAGAATCCAGCAAGAGCATTTCGTCCTATTTGCAACTCGGCTGTTAGATGTACTTACATCTCTAAGTTGATATTCACTCAAGCCCTCGAACCCAGAATCATCTGCTACTTGCATCTCAGAGTTGATGATCACTTTGGGACTTGAACACAGAATCATTTATTTGCTTAAGATCTTATCGTTTTATCTAATTGGCTAATGAATTCAGATAGCCACTTACTAGATTAACGGATAACGCGCTAGAGTTTGAAGTGAACAGTTGTAGGTTCATATCTCAGATGAAATTACATTTAGCTGACAAATCTCAAGTCGGACGAAACACCTGTCTTGAATTTCACTACTCTAGTAACATACTACTTATTAACTACTCTATATAAATCGAAGCTACACCTTGTTACTTATAGACTGTCACATCAGTCAATTAATCAGCGTAGTTAGTCAACGTAGAACTTCCTACGTACGTATGCATATCACTTCAAGTTTACCATATCACATTAGCACACAGAGATCCAAATGTCAATTCAAATCCCGTAGAAGTAGAAGTAGTGGAAGTGTTAGCGTTAATCAGAAAGATTACTAACCGAAGATATCATTCACGATGCATACCTCAGAGGAATCAATTAAAAAAAGGGAAAAAACGGTCATGAGGAATTCAGAAGATTAGAATTTAAGAGAAGGCAAACAATGGATGCACCTGAGCCATTGCAAACCATTTTGATCCATGTCATTCAAAGCCTCTAACCATCGATTACTATCGTCTCGTGGACCCAAACCAGATAGTAGTCTACACCTACCAACATGACTCGGCCCACTTGTCAATGACACCATGGATTTGTGCCATGTTTTGGTTTAGCCTCCCCCATAGCTTCCTTCCAACCTACTACATCTACACCACAAAACATCGTTCACCGAGACAGACAGTGGTTGGACATACGTAACTGTTAGGATATTCATCCAATATCATAAGAGAATTATTGGTCAATTTTATGGTCGTCCTAGTAGATATCAATGTCACGTGCTCCAATGTTGTTTCTTATTGGTTGTGCTGACTATCAATGTCACTTCATATGTTACTTCCTATTGGTCGTCTTCACTGTAAATGTCACAGACTTCGATGCTGTTTCCTATTCGACCTAAATGTATAAATACGCATTATGTGTAACGTTATATGACCACGGCCAGGACCAGGACCCGGACCCGCATCCCTAGTCCGGGATCCTGATTCTCTTCTGGATTCAGACCTCGTACTTTCTGGATGCTTTTAGAATACAGGTTTTACTTCAAATCAAGTCTTGTCTTCTTTTACTCAATATGAGGGTTGGAATAATCGGATTTGAGTAACATGTCATGTCGTCGGATCCTCGCTCTCGTTTTCCGACTACTAGGTACACTCGTAATAATAATTCAAGCATATCAAAATGACGTGTTTACGTGCAGGCGTGACAGTAACAACACACAACTCAACCACATCAACTGATAAACATTCATCGATCTGAAAGACTGTCAACATCAAATCGGTTAAAATGAAATGAAACATAACAATAGAAACACTTTAAAAAGAAAATTCAAATTTTTACTCTTTAAATGTATTCCAAAATTCTTGTCTATGCTTTTTATTTGTAGCTAATAACCATGAATTCGATTTATGAATACGATGATTCTTGCGTAAAGTTGTTACTTCATCATCATCATCATTCTCTCCCATCCTGCTGTGATCATGTGAAGAATATGGATTATCAAGGAAGCGATTCAATGGATATTTATTGGATAATAACAGTGACGATGATGATGCTTGTGAAGATGATGTAGCGTGTTTTTTTGAATTTGGCTTTTTTAAATCAATAATCAATGGTGTCGTCTGTTTATAAGCAATGAAATGTCCATCCTCATCAACATCGTCACTATCACCATCTACATCATCATTGACATTGTGACCATCATCAGGGTTCACGTGATCACCACCTGCTTGTATGAATGAGGATGATGATGATGATGGCGGTTGACGATGACCACGTCGAACACGATGATCACGTTGATGACGATGTATGGACTCGAACATGTCCGCCTCCTGCATCTCCACCTCATCCACATCATTGTCGTCGTCACGAATAAATGAAGATGAATCAGACATTGTTTCATAATCATCATCTAAATATACAATATTGTCATTGGTTAATGTTTTAAAATAATAATCTGCATTATGACGATTATTGGTCAATGGAAGTATTGATTTTTTATGATGCGAATCATGTGTTGTTTTCAGCAATGGTAAACATGAATTTATTAGCTGAGTCATTAATTCCAGCTGAGAGTGTTGATTTGATTCATGAGTAGTAGCAGGATTAGTAGTCATAGTCGTATCATGATATTGTCCTGTTTTATGATATGATGTAATTCGACGTGAATAATTATTGAATAGTTCCATTGCAGTCTAAACGAATTTTTTTTGAGAAGTAACAAAAATAAATTTATTTAAAACATAGATAAATATTGATATGAAGAGGCAATTAAATCAAAGTATAGTCGATGGATTTCTTAGTAGGCCACTCTCTCCTCGAACTTTAAGATCTCTCTGTACACGTTGAGCAACGTCAGGAGATACAGTCCCTATGGTAGCCAGACATCAATTATAAAGGTTCATATTATATTTCTTACCTCAGAATAGTGATGTTCATGTATACCACCACTGATGTGGTGGTTTCCAAATGCCTTATTATAGCTGAGAGTAAAGGAGAGTGAGTACTCTCTCGCTCTACCCCTCCAGATAATCTCAAATGCTTACAAATGTACAGCCTGTTAAAAAGGAAGTCTCATTCAGTGTTTAGATATGTAACTCAAAGACTCAAACAGAAGCGTTTGTGTGGGTTCCCTAGTCCTCACACAGGAAAATCGAATGTTCTGCATAGTGGTACATGAATATTTAGATACTTCATACACATGTGTACTAATGGATTTCACTTTTGGCTAAGTATAAACATTTTATTTCTGCAACAATTTGAATAGCTCTCTTTCGATCTCTCACATCCTAAGAACATTTCATTTACCGATATTAATTGTCACTCTGATTGTCAGAAAAGGGGGAGCTATGTTTTGTGGTGTAGGAGTAGATTGGAAGAAATCTAGGGGCGGCCAGACCAAAATATGGCAGAAATCTATGAAGTCACTGACTAGTGAACTGAGTCATGTTGGAAGATGTAGACTACCTGGTTGAGGTCCACGAGACGAAAGTCACCAATGGTTAGAGACCTTGAACGACATGGCTCAAAATCGTTTGCAATGGCACAAGTGCATCCATTCTTTGAGCTCTCTCAAATCCTACTCTTCTGGATTGGTCATCACCTCTACCGTTGTCTTTCTAACCTTATCTCACTGAATTATACTTCTTGAATAATATATCTTCAAACCCTAGTGTTCTTCATTACCATTAATACCTCTAATATCTCTATCACTATGGGATTTGATTTGAAATTTGAGTCTTTGTGCTGAGGCGGTATGGCAACATGAACTTATGTACTTACGTACGAAGTTCTACGTTGCAACTGACTGACTGACAGAAAGGAAGGAATCGGTCCTGTCAATTTCAAAGAAATCCAGCTTTCATCATGACCTATTATAACTCTTTTAAATGAAGACTTTCTAACTGCTAGAACACAATTTAAATAGTTTGAATAAGTTTTTCTGGTTAGCGGTGTTTGTTAGCGAGTTAATTTTCTGCGAGATAGCGATGCTAGCCCTCATTTTTTACCGGGTATGTAACCGACAATAACCCTAAGGTTACTGGAAAGGAAGATTGAAGACAGTGTTGATTAGAGAAAGCTGGTCGGTGGCCTATGCTCAATTACAGGGTTAAAGGAGTAAACAATTGTGGTGGTGGTGTTTGGTTCTCTGAGCTGGATGTAGTTTGGTTGTGGAGCTTTCATTGTTCGCCTTCTGAACAACATCAGCACAAACTTCAGATGTAAGAAGTAAAGTATTCGAATTTCTCCACGTTTGACCTGTAGCTTGTTCTACTAACCTCCATCTTGATTGGTTGCTGTTGACCTCAAACCTGTCGTTGTTTGCACCTTTGTTTTGATTGTATCCCCCCTTTGATCTGTTTCTTGACTCAATGTCCCGTATGAATTTTATGATTGATTGATAAATCAGGTCAATGTCGATGTGTTTGTTGATTGCTGATTGACCTAAGGAGTACCAAGCTTCTAAAAATTCTCTAGAGTTCTGTGTCCTCCCCACAATCATCCATCCACCTGAGCTACAAAAATTCTTCTCAATCATCATCATCTCAAAATCGTATAAGCTGGAGTAAACAATTATTTTCTTCAAAGAAAAGAGAAAAAACAAATACCAAAAACACATCGTCTACTAACCTGATATTGTGAACGTGCAATTAAACAATGTATCAATACACTAGGTTGTTCAATTTTTTCATAATAATCATATAGAATTTTAGCTTCCCAATTATTTAAACCTAAACTAATTAAATCATTTAAACGACCAGCTAAAAGAAATTGAAATTAAATGAAAAAAAATGAATGACAGAATTAAAGAGAGCAAGCGAGAAATTATAGTTCAATGTCATGCATATTTGATCATAGTACACAACTAATCAATAATACATGTACATTTTGTTAACTCTACTGGATAATTTTATCACAAAACAATTTATGATACAACACACAAATCAATGAATATCTGTGTGTAGACTATGTGGTGTTACCTCGAAGCACAGACAGACAGACAGACAAATACAACGCACAACTTCGTACATCAGTTCAAGTTGCCAGGCCTTATCAGCACAGAGATGTAATTGTCAGTTCAAATCCAAGAGTGATAGCAATAATAGAAGTGTTAGCAGTAATGGAGAAGATTAAGGAGCGAAGATATGATTCGAGAAGTATAATTCAGTGAGATAAATTTAGGAGGAGAAAGATAGAGATGATCAGGAAGGTTAGGATTAGAGAGAACACAAAGAGTGGATGCACCTGCGCCATCGCAAACGATTCTGAGCCATATCGTTCAAGGTCTCTAACCACCGGTGACTATCGTCTCGCGGACACCAACCAGGTAGCCTACATCTACATACATGACTCAGTCCACTTGTCAGTGACTTCATGGATTTCTGCCATGTTTTGGTTTGGCCACCCCTAACTTTCTTCCAACCTATTCCTACACTACAAAACATAGCTTGTCGAGACAGTCGGTGGTTAGCCATACGTTAAACATGTCCCAACCACCTCAACTTATGAATTTTTACTACTTCATCTATTGATTTGCCATCTTTACCTAGAATTCGTTTCCTAACGACAACATTGCTTATACGGTTGTCCCATGATACACGAGCAATCCTTCGGAAACATCGATGATCGAAGACTAGTAACCTTCGGAAGTCCTCTACTCTTAACGACCATGTTTCGCATCCGTACAGTAGGACGGACCGAACTGCTGCACAGTACACTCGTCCTACCTCGAAGCACAAACTGAAGCATATTGTTTTCTACCAGTTTTCTACCATATCGGCCACTACTCACTCCTCAAGTCTCCATCTGCCTGCCAGTCTAATCTACAAGGTTGTAGAGTACAACAAAAAGAGATATGATTCCAGGGTGTTATAAACTCTTCTTAATAAAAAACTAGCTATTCCTATTGCTTGGTATTCTCTGGCGATAATACACTCGACAAATCCTCAAATCAGAGGACACGGTGGGACAGGAAAGAGATTTTATTCCAAATAGCAAGGTTAAATTGGAAGTTAGAAGCCAAAAGCGAAGGCGAAATAGAAACAACGTTAGTATCTTTATAGTTTTAACATGAGAAACTTCTGGAATCTAATCTACGTGGATCGACTAGCGCTGACCAGATTAGATTTAACAAATCAGCGTCCAACTAACAACACGAGAATTTTCCAGCCTGTTCTCCAAGTCTCGATTTGGAGCTGATTAGATAGGAAATTAGCCAATCAGCACGCAGCTAATGCAGTCATGCTTTAATCCATCTATGTCTCACTAATACAGGGTAACCAGTAACCAACAATAGGTTCATACATAGTCATTTGTTCCCCACAGGATCATGAAGTCCATGTACGCCGACATGTGTTACGAATGCCTAACCACCGACTGCATCGACGAGCTTTGTTTTGTAGTGTAGGAGTAGGTTGAAAGATAGCTAGGGGCGACCAAACCAAAACATGGCAGAAATCATGAAATCACTGACTAGTGGACTGAGTCATGTTGGTAGATGTAGACTACGTGGTTGGGGTCCACGAGACGAAAGTCACCAATGGTTAGAGACCTTGAATGTGCAATGGCGCAAGTTCATCCATTCGTTGTACTCTCTCAAATCCTAAACTTTTTAATTCTTCAGGACCTCTACTTTTGTCTTTCAAACCTTATTTCACTGAATTATACTTCTTGAATAATATATCTTCAAACCCTAGTGTTCTTCATTACCATTAATACATCTACTATCGTTATCACTATGGGATTTGATTTGACATTTGCCTTTCTGTATGGCAACATGAACTTATGTACTTACGTATGAAGTTCTACGGTGCAACTGACTGACGCCGACATGGCTTTGGAATTTGAGTTTTCCAACTAGCCAAAAGAGGATTCGCTGTACCTACTAACCTGCATATAGAACAGGACATTCTCATTTCGTACTGTCGATTTCATAATAAACACCCACATTTATTTCATAACATTATACTTCCTGAATAATATCTTGGAATCCTAATCTTTTCGATTACCGCTAATACTTCTACTACCTCTACTACTCTACTATAGGGTTTGAATCGACGACTCTCTCTCGCTCTGTGCTGATGTAGTAAGGCAACTAGAACTGATGTACGTACTTACGAAGTTCCAAGTTGTAGCTGATGGACTGACTGACCCACATTGTGAGGTAGTGGGTGACAGTTTCTTGTCACTAGTCATATATATTTCATAAATCACTCAATGGCATCATGAGGCAAGTCCCAACTTGGAAATCTCAAGGCTAAAGGAAAAGACACAGATCATAGAACCACTAGCACACAAGGAACCAAAGACGGACACACTAAATAAATATAGAACACTTGGCGACAACTGAAAGAGAATCCTCGTTGGTAGCCTATGTCCCACGAAGGACAGATAACACGCAAGTAACAAGTAACTTATAGATAACTTTTGAGCGACGCCAAAGTGACCACCTTGAGACAACTTGCCTACCAAGTATGATCTAAAGTGAGCTAATAAGTCAGTGTGAGCTATTCGGATGACAGTTTATTTAGCCGTTAACATGTATGAATTTGTTGGGAATGTTAGATCCCCAAAAAATTCGCTTGATAAATGTCTTATTTTGGTTTTCAAGTCTGCCAACATGAGCTGATCAGTTGACCTTGATTGAGATTTCATTTCCCACCAGGAAAATCCATGGGTGTGATTGGCTGCTGTGTATTTTAGTGTGCTATTTTCGTAACTGTCCCAAGGACGTTTCTATAATGTATAATAAATAAACGAGAGTTGTGCGCTTGATTGTATTGTGTGATTGCTGGGTGTTTGTAGAATATACTTTCTACGCTTACAAAGCCTTCTTACTTTACTTTGGGGATTCAAGATAGCCTACCTGAACGCTGGTTCATTGTCTCGTTCACGTTTATCGACTAAGGTAAACAACTCGTAATAGCCTCAAGCATACTTAATGACGAACCCAATAGAATTCCATGCTAACATTCAATCCTTATCTCTGGATTAGTTCATTTCATAAATGATTACGTAATCGATCAATCAATCAATCAATCAGTCATCTTACCGCGTCGACACATTTCAACAAATTGTATAAACGAGTCATGAGCTAATTTATCCACTGAATTTAACATGTTCGTTGGTAATGGTGTTTGATTATGTAATCGATTCATTTTACGTATTAAATGACGTAATTTTGATAAAGCTAAATATGGGGCACCAATTGGTTTCATTGGTTTCAATGTGTACTCATGATTCAAAGTGGCAGTGTTGATGTTGGCATTTCTGGTGAATAATTGTTGAAAAAAAGATGGTGGCAATTTCGAATGGCGGCCATTATTCCGACCATTGGTTAAATGTTTCAATAGATCCGGTATTAAATCTGACCGACCGTGAGCATTGAATAAGCGGATTAGTAAATTAATTTGATTTGGAAATAAATCACAGTACACATGATAAGAAGATGTGAATTGTGTTTCAGGCGAATTCATAATGTACGCGATAATATGTGATGAAATAGATGCCTAGCATTGAAAATTGAAAGAAAAAAAGAAATACAGATTGTTTTTAGAGTATAAAATGTACGAATCTATTGAGTGACTTAAAACAGAGAAATCATTGAATTTACGGGTGAAGTTAGGAATAGTGACCAAGGGCCTAACGAAAGTAGGTGGTTTTCTGTCAGAGGAGTCCCACAACCCGGATCTTTGACAGATAGAAGTCTAATTGATAAGACAATGAAGCAGTGGGTCACAAGATACAGTTTCGTGGTAATCAGTGACTGGCAATAGGTTTGTTTATACAGCATCTGTTTCGTCAGGACCTTGGATCCCATGTGAACCATTGGTTTGGAATTAAGGTTTTATGACTCCACTGAGTAACTCCGTCTATAGCCCTTCTAGAGTTACTCCCGGTCCCAAGCTCGTGGAAACAAGAGGGTCAGGAATGAGGGGTTAGCGACCCAATCACAAACAATTTTTGGGCCATATCATTCACGGTCTCTAACCATCGATTATTACCATCTCGCGGACCCTAACTAGGTAGTCTATACCTACTACTATGGTTCAGTCCACTGGTCAGTGACTTCATATTTTGGTTTGGCCGCCCCTAGCCTTCCTTCAATCTACTACTTCTACACCACAAAACATCGCTTTTTGAGACAGTCGTTACTAGGACATACATAATACCTATCCAAACCATATCAACTGATGAAGTTTCACTACTTCATCTATTGATCTGTCATCCTTACCTAGCAACCGCGTTTCGCAACAACTGCTTTGTTCACTACATTGTTTCAGAATATACGAGCAATGGCTTCGAAGACATCTATGATTGAATACTAATAGTCTATGTGTTACGATATTCATCCAATATCCAAAGAGAATTATTGGTCAATTCCCATTGGTTAATTCCTACTGGTCAATTTTATGGTCGTCCTAGTAGATATCAATGTCACATACTCCAATGTTGTTTCTTATTGGTTGTCCTGACTATCAATGTCACTTCAGATGTTACTTCCTATTGGTCGTCTTAATTGTCAATGTCACAGACTACGATGCTGTCTCCTATTCGACCAAAATGTATAAATACGCATAATTTGTAACATTTTATGACCAGGACCCATTCCCGGTCCCGTATCCCTTGTCCAGGATCCTGATTCTCTTCTGGATTCGGACCTCATACTTTCTGGATGCTTGTAGAATGCAGGTTCTACTTCATATTACGTCTTCTTATTTTTACTCAATATGGTGGTTGGGATAATCGGATTTGAGTAGCATGTCGTGTCACCGGATCCTCAATCCTCGCTCTCGTTTTCCGACTAGGTAAACTCGTAATAGTTCAAGCATATCAAGTTGACGTGTTTACGTACAGGCGTAACACTATGAATATGCTCTACTCTTACCGGCCATGGTTTACAGTCATAAAGAAGGCCGGAGCCAATTGCTACGCATACAGTTTATATGTGTATGTGTTGTCTGGGAATTGTTGAAACCATGCACAAAATAGTACAGAGTACAAAAATATGCTTCAATATGCATCAGAGCCGCAAACTGAAACTAGTTAATTAAAAAAAATTCACAAGAGTATTTTCCTAGAACTCCGCCTGGAACGCTTCTACGGTTACTGCGGTTCCCAAGACCGCGGATAAAGGAGGAGGGTTCGACATGTGGGTTAGCGACCCCATCCCGCAGAAATCTAGCTCGCTCAAATAAAAGCTAACCAGAATAATTCATTCGCTCGTTGGTGGCCTATGCTCTGCCAAGGATAACGGGCGTAAGTAAGTAATTAAGTTGAATATACACTACACTATAATAGTAATAACAATAATAATAATAATAATAATAGTACAACTTACTTTAAAATAACCACGATCCATAAGCCAAAGTGATATAATTGTAGGCATAAGAGAATAGACCGAAGGAAATTGTTTAATAAATAACGACATTACATAACGACACTACAAAAGAAATACAAAAAAGATTTTTGAGGCATTGAAAGTAATTTTGAATTATGTTAATTTGTGTTATCCCCCCCCCGACCCCAGAGGCGACCAATATAATCGAGAGTAAAGAGAGTTCATTCTCTCTCATCAAATGGTCATGCCTCTAAAGCCAGTGAGTGTAGCAGAAGTAGGTAGCAATATACACAAAGGAAAAAGCAAGATCCTTCAATACACAACACAATACACACAAACTGAATTACACTTGATGGAGAAAAGCATTGTAACATGTGGGAACATTTACACACATGAGAAATAAAAATGTGGAGAAAGAGATTGGAAAAGCACGAGCAATATCTCGATAACTGAAAACAACTGGAAACCAACATCAAAGTCAACATTTCCAATACACATGTCAAGACAGTTGCATTGTATGGAATGGAAAATAGAGGGGAACCACCAAAATCATTATTCAAAGTATACAGATATTCCAGATATGCGAGACACTGTGAATCCGTAAGTCGCCCATACTGCTCCAGAAAACAAACCAACTTCTAGCACAGGAAAAATTACAGAGGAACACTGAAGGTGGATGAGAAAAACATTGCAGAAATCAACCAATCGAATCATTAGGTAAGCTCTAACACGGAATCCTCAAGGACAAAACAAATCACAGATGCGGAACAATTGTAGTAAGGGAGAGGCCCAGGACATAGTTGATTAGAAGAAATTCCTGGTCAATGACTTGCAACGCACAAACGGTAACATGTATAGTCAGTCACTCAATTACAATGTATAACTTCGTACATGATTACGTAAGTTCAGGTTTCCATACCACATTAGCACAGAGATGTAATTGTCAATTCAAATCCAATAGTAGTAAAGGTAGTGAAAGTATTAGCAGTGATCGGAGAGATTAGTGTTCGAACATATGATTCAAGAAGTATAAATCAGTGAGACGACTTTAGAAAAAGAAAGATAGAGATGATGAAGAATTCTGAGGATTAGAATTTCATAGAACACAAGAAGTGGATGCACCTGCGCCATTGCAAATGATTCTGAGCCATGTCGTTCAACGTCTCTAACAATCGGTGACTTTAGTCTCGCGGGTCCAAACCAGGTAGCCTACATCTACCAACGTGACTCAGATCACTTGTCACTGACTTCATGAATTTGTAGCATGTTTTGGTTTGGCCGCCCCTGGATTTCTCCCAACCTACTCCTGCACCATAAAACATAGCTCGACGAGGAACTCAGTGGTGGGGCATACGTAGCACATGTCTGAACCACCTCAACTGATGAAGTTTCACAACTTCATCTATTGATCTACCATCCTTACCTAAAACTCATTTTCTAACGACGACATTGCTTACTCGGTTGTCCCACGATACACAAGCAATGCTTCGAATACACCTATGATCGAAGACAAGCAACCTATGAATGTTTCTCATCCGTATAGTTGGACAGATCGAACTGCTGTGCAATAGACTCGTCCTGCAGTCAGCAAACGGATATCTCGTCCACGTCATAAATGACGCAGGTTGTTAAAAGTCAAACGAGCTTTCTGTATCCGAGTTGAGATTTCGTCAGTCACCAGGCCTTCAGCACTGATGAAACTAAGTGAAGCGAGTTGAATGTTCCCATATGAGTTTTAAAAAATGTACAAGTACAAGTAAGCAAGTGAGTACGCAATTACACATACCAATTGTAATCCTTGTAAATTATTGAAATCTGTACAACTCTTTACATTGTCAATCAATTGACCAGTATGCACCTTGTCATTACTACTACTAACATTCTGATCATCAGTAGTAGGAGTAGTAGTAGCGGTCGTCGTATTGTCCTCTTCATCAATATTTACATCACAATCGACAGCATCATTCAACTGATGATCATGAACACTTCTTGAATGAATCAACAATTTCGACATAGCTACATCACATAATATAAATCCCAATAAAATTAGCCGGCACTTTTTAATCTGTTCATTACATGGTAATTGCCATAGAGCACACACTGATTGTAAATATTTCGGTGGATAATTCAACCAATTCGGTATCATTTCGTCATCATCATCATCAACATCATGATGACTATTATCTGTTGTAGTCGGATGTCGATGATGGTCAGATGTTGAGGAGTTCGACGGTTTCACTGTGGATGTCGACAGTGATGGCGTCAAATGTTCTTGTTCTTTCCAAATATCGAAAATCTCATTATTATTATGATTATGATTATCGAGATTGTTGTTTACTGGTGATTGAAGTGCACTATAAAGAATGTGTTTACTAATTACTGACAATCGATACGCTTGATTACTACCCAAATTCAGATCTGAATCGTGTGAATGACACAGTGTATATTGTAATTCAGAAATAGTTTCAGTTAGCATTGATGAATTATATGGTAAGAGAACTGTACTATTTATCTGATTAGAGAAATCTGTAGAGAATTTACTGAAATTTAAAAATAATTCAAAGGAAATAATAACATCGATTTGAAGCACAATATTTATAGACTACTGATATAAATTGTAAGTAATATAAAGTGAAGAGCATCGTATAAGTTAGACAACATGTTATCCTCAGCATAAAAACAATGCAATATAAGGGAGAAACGAATATAACAATTTTGTCAATTTTCTTTGATGAATGCAAGTACAATTATTCACCTACATAATTCAATGAGCGCAGTTCCAGATTTAAAAGGCAATACATACTAATCTCTAAGACATTTCTGATTTTTACACATTTGAAATCATTAATCAATCATCATTGTTAGACCACCATTAGAAACCTGGAAGCACTGGACGGCCGTTTCGTCCTAGTATGGGACTCCTCAGTAGTGCGCATCCACGACTCCTGCTCCTCGCAGGACTCGAACCCGGGACCTTTGGCATTGTAGGCGAACGCCTTACCATCGGACCACTGGGCCGGCATCCAACGGTGTTAATGTCTAACTCTGATTGATCTAGGGATTTTGCGCGACCTCACCCATTTGTCTATGGTAGTTACTGCCTACACCCGACAGGGTTGAACTCCACTGGTCACGTCTTCTCAACTAGAACTCCGAGAATTTCCTCACGAAGCTAGTCACTAGTGAGCACTGTTACATTATATTGGGGCACAGTTTTGGAGGTTTGCGTTTTTACACATTTGAAATCATTTCTGATTGTTATCAAAAGACCACATTCGGTCACTTCTGACTGGCTCTCCAGATTTTTGAGTTAGGTTTCAACGAAAGTTCTTTTCATTTCGTTTAGCCAACTAATCAGTGTCCGCGTAGTGGTGTCCGAGTAATGATCCAATGAACAAGATGGTCATACTTTTTGAAGGTCAATTTACGAACAACTGAATCAGCGCATCGCAGTTTCAAAGTTATGCTAAGGAGCCTAGCATATCGAGGGTACGGTATGTTCATGATAAGGTGGTCCAGAGGTACAACCCTTTCGAGTTGCGGGAGTCGCGTATGAGCGCTGTTGATGAGTCACACACTGGGACGAAACGGCCATCCAGTGCGCCTAGGTTTCTAATGGTGGTCTAACATTGATCGATTCGTGGTTTCGAAAAAACTATAGTATTCCCCAATCCTATAAGCTGAGTATTTCAAAGTAATACACATTAGATACCTTTGAAAATAGATAGTAATACGAATTGATGTGTTGTGAAGAATGAACTGAAGTTACCAAAACCTTCATTTTTTAAAAAACATTGTATATGATAGTTTTTATAGATTTTATTCTTGATTAGACAGATGGTCCGTTCAAATTTGAGTTTTTACGAATGATCCCGTTGTGGATCGAATGCAGGATGTTCAAGTCTGGGGTGGGCGAGTCCTAAAATTTTAAACTATCTAGTCAAGACTCAATCGTTTGAATATGAAATGTTAACTGATTTGCCACAATGTATGACCATTTTTCAATACCATCGGTGGATAACTGTCTCAAACACAATACTATTAAACTCGACTGGTAACAACCTCTTAACGACTTTTAGCGGGAAACTATTAGTTCAAATCTAATCGAATATGTCCATACATTAACAAACGAATCATCAAAACGAAAAAAAACGTTACTCTAAAAGCATGCGATGGCGCAGGTACATCTACTCTTTGTGTTCACTGAAATTCTAAACTTCTGAATTCCTTATCACATCTATCTCAATGAAATATACTTCCTGACTAATATTTTCGGATCCTAATCTTCTACATAACCACTAATACCTCTACTATCTCTAGCTCTATGGGGTTTGAACTGACAATTGCATCTCTGTGAGCTAATCCGTTATGAAAACCTGAACTGATGTACGTACGTAGGAATTTCGACGTTGTAACTGACTGACTAACTGACTGAATTATCAAAACGTTTGATGATTGATGAATACTGAAATTTTATAGCGCCCAAGACATGTGAAGAAGTAGTGTTTCACTTCGTCGATTTTTCAGAGAAATTTCATTTCTTTTTCATGATGAGTAGAAACTAAGTACAAACAATAATAAGTTCTCTGCATCTGATTTTTAAAATAGTCGGAGTATTCAACCGTAGAAACACACACGTATAGTATGAACTAATGTCGAGATTCCAACTGGTCTTAAAACAAGTACGCCTCCAAATACCCTGGAAGAACGGGCAGAAAGTGAAGAGCGTCCGAAATCTCTGTCCTAATGATCTCACATGACGACGTCTATGCAGCCAGTGTCAGAAATGTTCTACTCAATGTTTACTCAAGTATTGTGAACGAAATTGAGAGGAAGAAAAGTGAATGTCGATGCGGTTAACTCGCGTTCGAGAGCACGGAAGATCCATGCATTAGCCTCATTCATAACTAATGGCAGTGAGTCAGTCAGCAACAATATAGAACCTTTTACATACATACATCAGTTCAAGCAACCATACCACATTAACAAACAGTGATGAAATTGTCAATTTAAATCCAATAGTAGTATAGTTAGGAGAAGCATTAACGATAATGGAGAAGATTTGGGTTTGAAAACATGACTCAAGAAGTTATAAACCAGTGATATGAATTCAGAAACAGAAAAAAAAACGGTCATGAGGAATTCAGATTACAATTTGAATGCACCTGCACCATTTCAAACAATTTTGAGCCATGTCATTCAGGATCGCTAACCATCGGTTATTATCATCTCGCCGACCCCAACCAGGTAGTTAACACCTACCAACAAGACTCAGTACACTTGTCAGTGCCATTTTTCAGCTTGCCCATCCCTAGCTTTCTTCCAGCTTACTCCTCTACACCAATTACAGTTCACATCGTATTTACGAAACTCAAAGAACCTATCATTGGTCATCAGGCTACTAACAAAACTTTACCTCGTGATTTGGCCTCACTGCCCTATAGATTAAACCTATAGGTCAAAAACATCGAGGATTCCCCTAACCTTTACACAAATAATATTCAATTACCGCTTAATATCCAATCATTATATGTTCAATATGAAATGAAATGTTACACATTAACTCATATCAGTAAGTCAATCAGTTGCAACGTAGAACATCGAACATAAGTACATGAGTTCATGGGATCTTCAACAACTCTAGTTTTGATTTCCTAAACTTTTCTCACTGAATCATACTTCTTGAATAACATCTTCTAATCCTAACCTCTCCGATTACTTCTAATACCTTTACTACCTCTACTATTATTGGATTTGAATTGACAATTACATGTGTGTATGCTGATGTGGTATGACGACATGAATTGATGTACTTACGTACGAAGTTCTACGTTGCATCTGACTGACTGACTGACTGAGTTCATGTTGCCATACCACATCAGCACACAGATGTAATTGTCAATTCAAATCCAATAGTAGAAGAGGTAGTAAAGGTATTAGAAGTAATCGAAGAGGTTAGGATTAGAACATACTATTCAAGAAGTATGATTCAGTGAGAAAAGTTTAGAAAGTCAAAACTAGAGGTGTTGAAGAATCCAGAAGATTACGATTTGAGAGAACACAAAGAATAAATACACCGGCCTCATTGCGAACGATTTTCAGCCATGTCATTCAAGGTCTCTAACCATCGATTATTATCATCTCGTGGACCCCAACCAGACAGTAGTCGACAACTACCGACACGGCTAAGTCCACTTGTCAACGACTTCATGAATTTCTGCCATGTTTTGTTCTAGCCGCCCCTAACTTTCTTCCAACCTATTCCTACACTGCAAAACAAAGCTCGTCAAGGTATTCGGTGGTTAGGCATACGCACCACATGTCCCACCCACCTCAAACGATGAAGTTTCATTACTTCATCTATTGATCTGCCATTCTTACCTAGCACCCGTTTCCTGATAACAGCGTTGCTCACTCGGTTGTCGCAGGATATACGAGCCATGGACTCAGATTTGCATTCAATCATAAAAGACACATTAGAATGAATCAAATCAACTTACTTGTCCATATTGGATTGTGGCAATAAACCTAAACGCATTAAGAAAATTACCAGCTTTGTATAGGATAAATATTTTCTTATACTGAATTCTATAGGATGATGTTTAGATGACGATTTAGAATTATTATTATTGCTGTTATTGGTGTTATTATTATAATTGGTGAAATGAGCATTTTTCTCATTGAACCAATGTTTAGCTAAATTTGCCAGTAGTTGAATCTAAATAAATAGACAGACAGAAAGATAGATAGATAGACAAACATTGGATAGACATATCATAAGTAAATGTTTAACACTCCTCAACAGTTATACCGTACTACTCAAAAAAACAGGCTAATAAGTAGTATGCAGTTGACATGCTCATCAATTGATATGCTTGAATGCTATTACAAGTTCACCTTAGTCGGTAAACGGAACGAAGAACAATGATTCAATGACACGATAGGCTATTCTAATTCGTTTGTCCCCGCCCCGGCTAACTATATCAAGAAGTCTTGATCAGGCGTAGAAAGTGTATTCTACATGCACCCAGAAAATAAGAGGTGGGTAAGCACATAAATCAAGCTTATTTATACAATGATAGAAACGCCCTTGAGAGAGCTACAAAAATTCGTTCACCAATGACAGTCAAGGATTTTTCGAGGGGGAAATGTAAGCTGAAGGTCAACTGGTGTGAAAACATGGGAATTCAAAATTTCTGAGTAAAATTACAAAATTAGGACCTTTCCAAGTGAGTTCTAGGGATCTAACGTCCCCAACAGTAGTGGATAGTTTGCCTAGAAATGGCTACCAGAAAGAGGAACGGCGTTTGGAGATCATAGTGCAAGGCACGATCAGTGTATTTTGAAGACTGGAAAAGATGTGTGAGAGAAAACAGTCGGAAAGCATGTTTGTATTCCAGATGGATCTTTGAAAATTACATGTGTACTTATTTTGTAAGCGAACTGTCGCCTAACTTCGTATGTTACGACGCGGTAGCAATTATAGACACCCACATCTAATTGTTGGTCAAATTTATGGCAAATTATTTTTTTTAAACGTTACGGCATTAACGATGATAATTAATTCATGCTGTTTGCTAAATTCAACAACATACTGTGGGAGATAACAAACTAGATTCCAGTTGGGGGGAAGAAATCAGGAAAAAACACTGGAAATGGATAGGACACACTATGTCACAACAAGGCAAGCACTAACGTGGAATCCTCAAGGCCAAGGAAAAAGAGGAAGGCCAGGAAACACATTAAGCCGAGAAATGGAGACAGACATGAGATGAACAACACTTAGACAGGACTAGAAACGAAGGTCTACTACAGGATAGGTTGGAGAATGTTAGTCAGTGGCCTGTGCTTCATTGGAGGAAGTAACAGGCGTAAGTAAGTTTACTGAATGCCCATCTTCAATTCGTCCTTCAATCTCCTTACGAGAGCCACAAAACAGCATTCTACAATAATCCGTCAACCAATGACAGTCAAGGATTTCCAACTGAGAAATGTAAGCTCAAGGTTAATTAAGTGACTTATGAGCGAAAACACAAACAATCCAAAATTAGGACACTTTCCAAGTGAGTTCTGGGGATCTAACGCCCTCAACACTGCTGCATTTTTTAACAGCGTACGTTCCTGAGGTCGATGTGCATCTTGACTATTGTTAGCCGCAGTCTGTGAGGATATTTTTAGGGATGGAAATCAGATTATTGTTCAGGCATTTCTCGTGGTTGGGCTGCCAGTAAGTTAAAGGTATGTAGCAGTATGTCAAATGGGCAATCTATGGTTAGCCATTCGTGTGTCGAATTTCGATGACGTGACTATCTATCGCCTCCCACCTCTACACACCCAAATTTTCTGACCACTCGCACTTCTATCCATGGACCATGGTTTGGTCTGTTGTAATCACAGGCAAACACACAGGACAGTCCACTTCGTACATGGATTGCTTTTCAGACTCTGTCTCAACTGGTGTTAATGCATTATTACTCGTATGCATCAACCTGTAGGTCGTTTTCAGTTAAAATAACAACAATACTATAAATCATCACTTACTTGATTCACTGTACACCCTAATTCTAATAAATCCGGTAAAATTCTTCTTCTACTTTCTCTGTTTGTATGATGATCATCATCATAGACGATGGAATTCGATAAATTCGCCTGCATTTCATGAGTGGATGATAATTTCAGTGCAAATAATCCATTAGTCAGTTTATCAAAACGTGATTTCAATCGACAAAAACGTAACCATAACCAACTATGTTTAAATTTGAAAACGATCAAAGATTCTTGTCCAATTGGTAATAATAAACGATCGATATTCTTGAGTGAAAGAAAAAAAAAGTGGAGAACAAGATGGAAGAAAATTGTAAAAAGCCACGATACTATGTTTAACGATCAGTCAGTTTCTTTAGGAAACTGAAAATAAGCTGGATTAGTGTTGATCTTAAGGAACTGACAGCATGAGGACAGAGACCGCTCTATCGCTCTTGTTTATAATGCCTTACCGCCAGAGAAGGAAATCCGTGAGGTAAGGTGAGGTGTGACAATTTTAGGGTCGCCCATTTACAATCTCTTCATTTTGTGTGAGAAGGCAGGATCACTGCAGATGCTGGTTGTCCGAGGGAAACACCTTACTAATGTCACACCTCTCAATAATCAGCAGTACGACTTCGCCCTCAGACCTTGAGTTCTTGCTTTTAGTCTAACCGTTCTGCAATCAACCTGCCTGGCATGGTAGAACTTACAGGAACATGTTTCACTTAATGTAGCTTGGTTAGGTCATCACGATAGGCAGCCCGAATACGACGTCCAAGTAGCAGAATTACGAGCAACAAAACACCGAGACAAGCATCCTCAGTCGGCCATCTTTTGTTGATGTTTGCAGCAGAAGATATCTGATTTGAGTCTTAAAGTAAACATCAATAGCAGGATCGAAACACGAAGGTTTAATTAATCCCAAATATGAAAAAATAAGTGTTTTGGACACCAATATCATATACTTATCTGAATATATTATTATTAGTGTGAAGGTCACCTGAAAATTTATATACAGCACAAACCGATCAAAACGTATGCGGGCTGGAATACTGACTGCGTGCCAAAACTGAAGTGGTATTTTTGGAAGACCACTCCAGAAGCCTTCCACCCACACATCTAATCCACAAGGTAGTGGGACAACAATAGGTTCATACGTCGCTCGTTCCCTCATTATTTCAAAGTCTATGTACATCGCCATCGGTTTGAAATGAAAGTTTTTCAATTCATGCAGGTTGATTCTACACAGTCACAAACTCGGTTCAATCGCCAGTTATTCGATTTTCGTCCTGTCGATTAAATAAACAACACCTGTACCAGGAATGAGAGAGAGAAGACTCTTCCCATTCTCGACTATATCAAAACATTTGAGAGCTACTCTAATACTAACCAGTTTTAAATTTTAATATCATCTTAACAAAGTCAAATTGTAGAATATACTATCAAACAATTCAAAAACATGAAATTAAGTTATTTTTTTTTAAACTACTATTATAAAAATTCAGTAGTATAAATAATATTTTGAAAAAGAAATTGGACAATCTCACCTTCAACACATTCATACAACCATGTTCCAGAAGACAATTCGCAAACAATACCCAACAAGGATCTAAACAATATTGATGTGTGCTCTTTGATGTTTTCATCATTTTTGTTGTATTATTTAAATGCACTGATTGATCAATTCGACGATATTTAGAATGACGTTTTGATGTCACAAACTCAGTGTCGTCATCATCGACAGTTTCAGTGTCCGCTGGTTGACGGTCAACATAGAGCAAATTATTATCATGATAATCGGATTGTTTTGTCATTAAACTAGTCAATAACTTGTTTAAACTATCAATAATCGATTTGTCACAATATTCACCATATGCCAAATGAATACCATATTCATTACTGTTATGAACGTGACTATGATGACTATTTTGTGTACAATGTAAAATATTGAAAAATTCCTCTTCATCATTGAATACATCTAATTCTGGTGATTCTAATAAACCAAATTTCCATGCGTTGGTTAACCATTGGATAAGATTGAATTTTTTATTAATATTGATTAAATTGGTTGGAGAGCTACAGCTGTTCTGCTGCAGCACTACTGACATTAAACATTGTTCTTGACGTGATACAAATATGGCACGACTTAAATTATATAAACAATTATAATATTTGGGTGTTGAATTGTACGATTGTTGTGTTAGAGAAAAATTGAATGTAGAATTATTAGAGGTATCATTAGTCCAAAATAGTAGACAGTGGAATGATAAAGAGGATGGATAAAGAAATACTTCCGGTATTGGACGCGGTTGTCTCGGCTGATGATTTCCACCCAATCGATTAGGATGAGGAGGATGACGATGACGACGACGACGAGGTCGAGCACGGTGAGAAGGATGTTGAGAATTTTTGGTTAATTTGAAATTCGCATTTGATAATACACGATAAGATTGACAAGATTTAATGTAATTGGATTCACGACGTACTATACGACTCCAAAAAGACATTAAACTTGATTCAATGATATATGTGTGCTATTAGATAAGGAGAAAGAAGGAATATATACGTATATATAAATGGTAACAAAAAGGTTTTATCAAAACATAGGTATGAACACCGTTGAATGCCGGTCAACTCAATGGGGACTACTAGAAGTTCGATTCCTGTGAGTAGTGAGGGTCATGAATGCTCACTGCTAATGATGAGGAGTCGCATATCAGTAAGAAACGGGTATCCAGTTGTCATGCAGGTCGACTGATATGCTAGAAACTATTACGAGTTCACACCTTAGTCGGTAAATGAGAGCGACGACAAATGATCCAGTGACACGATAGGCTACTACTCTAATCCGAGCGTCCCAAGGACCCACTAAGTAGAGGAAGAAGACTTGATAAGACGTAGAAAGTGTATTCTACAAGCATCCAGAAAATATGAGGTTGACAACCATACAAATCGAGTCATGGATGCGCACTGCCATTGATGAGGAGTCTCATACAAGGACGAAACGGCTATCTAGTGCTTCCAGTTAAGTTCTTACGTCGGTCTAACAATAATTGATTTATGTATATATGTAGTCAATAAAAAGAAAGGCACGAATAAAAACAAAATTTTTGAAAAACTTACTAATAATTGTACTTTTTGATTTGGTATTAATGCATCGAAAATAGCAACAAATGTATCATCTGATCTATATGCAATTGTGAATTAAGAGAAAAACAGAAAGAAATTCTTTTTTTAGCTTAAGAAATAGATGTCAATGCATTGACAGTCAGTTACAACGTAGAAGTTAGTACACGAGTAGATAAGATCAGGTTGCCAATACAACATCAGCACAGACACGCAACAGTCAGTTCAAATCACATTGTGGTAGAGGTAGAAGAAGAATTAGCAGTAATGAAGAAGATTAGGGATCGAGGATGTAATATTCAAGAAGTATAGTTTAGAAGGAGAAAGATAGAGAGGATGAGGAATCCAGAAGGTTGGAATTTAAGAGAACACAGAGAATGCATGCACCTGCGCCATTGCAAATGATTCTGAGCCATGTCGTTCAAGGTCTCCAACCATTGGTGACTTTCATCTCGCGGACCCCAAACAGGTGGTCGACATCTACCGACATGATTCAGTCCACGTGTTAGTGACTTCTGCTGTTTTCTTTGGCCGCCCTTTGCTTTATTCCAACCTACTCCTACACCACAAAACATAGCTCATCGAGGCAGTCGGTGGTTGGGCATGGGTAACACACGCCCCCCCAATTCAACTGATGAAGTTTCAATACTTCATCTATTGATTTGCTATCCCTACGTAGTACTCGTTTCCTAACGACAGCATTGCTTACTCGATTGCACCAGGAGATACGAGCAATGCTTCGGAGACTTCGATGATCGAAGACAAGCAACCTACGAATGTCCTCTACTCATACCGGCCATGTTTCACATCCATATAGTAGGACAAAGAGGACTGAAGTGCTGTACACTTGTCCTTTAGTTAATAAACAGATATCTCGCCTGCACTACAGCTGACGCAATTTAACAAAAGCTAATCGAGCTTTATGTATCCGTGCAGAGATTTAGTCATTCACTAAGCTGTCAGCACTGATGAAGCTCACCAGATAAGTGAAGCGGTCTAATACACTCGATTACATCGCTCCCTATCACTAGTTCAGGTGTCAATATATGTTTAGAGAGGGAGAAATAACTATATTCCCAACAATCAAAACAAAAGTTTTAATGAAACAGAATCTGTGAAGATTGTTTTATCTCTCATAATTAAAATCATAAACTATTATAAACCATCCATAGAAACTTGGAAGTACTTTAGATGGCTATTTTATTTCTGCATAAAACCATAACCAGTCAGTTGAGGGTTTATGTAGGTTAATGGTATTCGGTCATAGTTGTCTCCGAAACATTGCTCATGCATCCTGAGATAACCAAGTAAGCAATGCTATAGTTAAGAAACTAACAAATGACATTGTTTGTTCACGAACACAAGTTACACATAGACCTTGATCGTTGATTCAGGCAGCGCCCATCATTAGAAACCTGGAAGCACTGGATAGCCGTTTCGTGGTCCAGAGTTTAGGCATTCGAGTACAAGACCGAAGAACCTGAGCTCGAACCTTACAAATAGCAGGAGTCGTGAATGCGCACTGCTAAAAAAGTTTCATACGGCCGTCCAGTGCTTCCACATTTCTGATGTGGTGATCTAACAATGATTTATTCATGATCTTCAAAACTCTAATTGAAAAACATACTATCCAGCTATGCAAAATGAAATAAGTGGAGCAGTGTTCACAGATGAAATGCGGTAGCTACAATTCGAATGCTTCACCTACTACTAATACTACTGAGTAAGTCACTCACTTCATTAAGTATTTTGTTTTACAGACATAACAGAGTTGGTTGGAGAAAATTGGTGGGCGGCCTATGCTCCATTTGGGGTAACAGGCGTAAGTAAGTAAATAAGTAAGTTTACAGACATAAATATAATTTCTTATCTCATAGTGTTGCGCAATTCACAATATAGTAGTATATAACATCTTAACAGAAATCTGGTTAAAATCGATTTTCCATCATACCTGATATAAGTTGGCATTTGTGCATGATACCATCGATCCAAATCGAATAAACCAATACGTATCACAGAATCAGTAAATTTCCATATAAAAGCAATTAAACGTATCATCATTCCAACAGAATGATTATTATTATTATTACTACTCTTGGCATTATCATTGCTGTTATTCGTGATAGTAGTAGTAGTCGAAGTAGTCACAGCAGTAGTATTAGTGGTAGTATCAGTAGTATTAGTAGTAGTAGTAGAATGAGTAGGAGTAGTGGGAGTAGTAGGACTAGTATTATTAGAATGATGCTGTTGTTGATAATCCATGATAAAATCACTCGGTGCATGAAGTGATTGTACCGACAATAAACTTGATGTATATGACGACGACGTGTGCTCGTCAATTTTATCACCAGACAATGTTGTAGATAAACGTTCAGCGATACCAATTAAATCCTTTGAAATGTTAAGAAAAATAAAAGAAATATAAGTTTGGAAATCATGTTTGAAATCATGAATTGATCAATGTTAGACAAAGAAGCACTCGATGGCCTTTTCACTTTGGTATAAGACTTATGATTGGCGGTGTACATGCACGACACCATGTACAGGAGAATTCAACCAAGTATCTTTGGTCTGACATGCAAATGCCTACTTAAATCTCAACTTAACAACCCTGTGATGATGAATATTGAATAATTATAACTTATGTGAACAAATTACTTGTAAGTAGTAGCTAACAAAAATTGAAGATTCAGATCAACAAGACTAGGTACAAGTGATTTGTGAAGACATTTGAACACTTCATTGCTATCTGAATTTTGTACAGATGTTATTGTTCAAAAGAATGATCAAAACTTCAAGACTAAACCATCTATCTAGCTGAAGGAACGAAACTCCACTATGGTTTAGTACACACAGACATATCAGTTACTTACACAGTCTGACCCGAGGTTATACGTGATGAAGTATAAAAAATATGAAATATCAAGTCATTTAACTTCACAAATAAATATCGGCTCATAGAGACTATTCAGTGTTACACTCGTCTCTAGGTATGCTTAAAACTATTAGGGGGTTCACCTTAGTCGAATAACGAGAACAAAACAATCAACCAGCGTCCAGGTAGGCTTTGATGATCCCTTGACCCAAATGTACTATAGCGCAGAAAGTGTATTCTACAAACACCCATCCAGCACACAATGAATCCAAGCACTCAAATTGCGTTTATTTATACTCTATAGAAATGTCCTTGGGACAGTCACAAAAATAGCACACTAAAATAACACAGTAGTAACCAATCACAGTCAAGGATTCTCCTGGTGGGAAATGTGATCTCAAGGTCAAATGATCAGCCCATGAACTAAATCCAAATTAAAGACATTTACTAAGCAAGTTCCGAGGATCTAACATCCCCAACATTAAGAATTTGAACTGTAGTTTAGATACAATTGTTTGGATTGCCAAGCTTTAGTAGTATACTTTAAAAAACAATTCAGTTTGAACATTGTTAAAATTATCACTGTACTAATTGTGAATTATTCGAGTGTTATTTATATACGTGCCTTTAAATGGTCTGGTATGATCGACTGTGAAGAGAGTCCGCTCTTCATCTGTAAATTCTTTCATACGACCAGGCTCACATAGCCACCACCAGAGAAGTTAAAGTCACTGTCGATTCATGCCAAAGGTGTTTTTTTAAGAAATTATAAAGGATGAAAAGTAAATGTACATACAGGACTTGAACTGAGTTGTTGGGTACATAGAATCCCATCTAGAGAAGTTATAAAACCCTCATTCTAAACCAAAAGTCAATGTATATCGCATTTACCATCCTTAAAAAACAAATAGTCACTGATCACCACAGAATTGCATCGCCAAAAGTCGCTTCACTAACTTGTGGATTAGACATGTACGTCAAAGGGCTCGTGAAGTGATCCCCAAAAAATAACCACCTACTTTGGGTTTGAACGTCCAGTCAGTAGTAACATAAACATCACTGACAAAAATTCAATAGTTTGTGTGACGAATATATATAATTTTTCAGTTAAATAAATCAAAACTTCATATAACTATTCAACTGACCACAGAGTAGACAATCATAATAGATTATTAATACAACGAAAAAGACAAATATTACAGATACCATAAAATACATGAATTTTACCTGATAATAAAAATTGAATTCTTTATGTTTATTTGAAACTAATTCATAACGATGTCTGTAGGATAATTGAAATAATTTAATTGTTGGACTATAATTCAAAATAAAAAATTTTTTTTCCGATTGATTGGAAAAAAATTGAAAATGTAAGAAAAAAACAGAAAAATAATTTTTTTAAAAATTTAATTTACAAAGAAATAATTAAGCACATTAAAAAATCACTTTTACAGACAGCCGCCTATGAAGTTTCGATAAAATGAGCCAATCAGAAGTGACTAAATGTGAAGGTCATTTGATGACCTACAGAATATGTCATAAAGGACGAATATCATTGGTTAAGAAATAGCTCCTCAAAGTCGAGTATTTGTACATATGATTCGGTAGCTAAATGAAATCGCTATTCCAGTCTAGTCTTCTCGATCAAGTATTCAGTTTGGGGGGAGGCCAGTTAGTGCGTGTCACGTTTAGATCATGGACATCGTACACCACTGAGTCATACTGACGTGACAAACATTTTTATTTAATAATCTATCGTAAAACTGACCATTTATGTTATGAATGTGATTTTACAGTGAAAAGAAAAAACCGAACATTAGTTTATAAGTTCGAATCCCGTTTTGCCTATTACTAACGGTCCCAAACCTGCATAATGAAAGAAACTTGAATGTGCGGTCAACAATCACATCACGTAAAAAGAACCTCCCTAAAAATTCGTTAACCAGAGAAAATCAGTTAATATCTAGCCTGTAAGTCGAAGGATATTTATATGGAAGAGTTTAGATCTTTAAAGGTGAAGGTCGAGAATTTTCGGAAGCCTGCGATGGATGTGGGTCTCACCAATTATTTTGTAGCGGCCGGTATCCAATATAGTACCTTAGAATTCGTATACTGCTCGTCTTGATAAGCGTTGCTAGTTAACGACGCCAAATGTTGTATAAATTTGAAGATGAATACGAAGCGTTGATTACAACAACTATCACACCACATACAGATCACCAAAAACAAAGGCACACGAAGTGAAAATGATATGCAAGTGCCGAAGAAAAAGCGAACGAGTCAGTTAAAAGGATCCACATGTATATATATATATATACATGTGGATCCTTTTCACTGACTCGTTCGCTTTTTCTTCGGCACTTGCATATCATTTTCACTTCGTGTGCTTTGTTTATTGGTGATCTGTATGTGGTGTGATAGTTGTTGTAATCAACGCTTCGTATTCATCTTCAAATTTATACAACATTTGGCGTCGTTAACTAGCAACGCTTATCAAGACGAGCAGTATACGAATTCTAAGGTACTATATTGGATACCGGCCGCTACAAAATAATTGGTGAGACCCACATCCATCGCAGGCTTCCGAAAATTCTCGACCTTCACCTTTAAAGATCTAAACTCTTCCATATAAATATCCTTCGACTTACAGGCTAGATATTAACTGATTTTCTCTGGTTAACGAATTTTTAGGGAGGTTCTTTTTACGTGATGTGATTGTTGACCGCACATTCAAGTTTCTTTCATTATGCAGGTTTGGGACCGTTAGTAATAGGCAAAACGGGATTCGAACTTATAAACTAATGTTCGGTTTTTTCTTTTCACTGTAAAATCACATTCATAACATAAATGGTCAGTTTTACGATAGATTATTAAATAAAAATGTTTGTCACGTCAGTATGACTCAGTGGTGTACGATGTCCATGATCTAAACGTGACACGCACTAACTGGCCTCCCCCCAAACTGAATACTTGATCGAGAAGACTAGACTGGAATAGCGATTTCATTTAGCTACCGAATCATATGTACAAATACTCGACTTTGAGGAGCTATTTCTTAACCAATGATATTCGTCCTTTATGACATATTCTGTAGGTCATCAAATGACCTTCACATTTAGTCACTTCTGATTGGCTCATTTTATCGAAACTTCATAG